TGAATTCATCAGATGGGTAACAATATATTGGATGAGTGCATAAGTTCGTGCCCGATTTCAAGTGCAAACTAAAATTGNGGAATCAGGCACGAACTTATGCACTCATCCAATAATATATCTGCAAGAATGAAGTATTGATTTGCAAGAAAAGGGGGCACTTACGTATTAAATTTGTGTAAATATTTGGTTTTATTCGGCCACCTCGACCTTGGTTCGATCAAAACCTCAAACCTCAACCTCAAAACCTTGCTTGCACCGTTGCTTATTTTTTGCTAAATTTGCGTCATCTTTAAAAAAAAAAGTGGCGTGCGATGGCGTTAATACGTAAAATCAAAAATTTATAATTTTTATAATTTCTATTCTCTTCTGTATATGAAATTTTTTCCCTTTTTACATACATAAACATTTTGAAAAAAATTAATATATTTACTTTTATTTTATAAATATCAAATACCGCCAACTTCATATATGACGAAGTTGGTTCGGTGACGTTAACGGTTGTCGTAACCTTGTATTTTATAAACCTTGTCTTTTTCAATTATTTTATTTTATTTAAATTTAATTTGCTTTGCTTCATTTTAATTTTCCTCATTTTATTTCATGATAACTTTCATTAAATTATGTTTTTTGGGTTGCCAAAAAGTAATTGCGGATTTTTTAAAAGAAAGTAAATGCATTTTTAATAAAACTTAGAATGAANAAAAGTAACAGATGATAACTGACAGAAGAAAGAATGCAATTACAGAGTCACAAGCCGTTGAAAAAATTTGTCAACACCGACTATATGAAAAATTCGCAATTACTTTTTGGGCAACCCAATAATTTAAGTTTTTCAGTTTGTTTGAGTTTATTTTCTTCTATAAATAATTTATTATTTGTAATTTTTTATTTTACTTTATTTTTTCATGTTTATTTTCTTATTTTATATTGCTAAACTAAAAAAAAGTTTTCCACAACTTGAGAAAATTGATTTATGATTTGGCGAAACTTCACTAAAAAAACATAAATAAGATATGTATGTATATAAAAACCCAAAAATTTAGAAAATAGTAGAAAAGTAAACAACGCTGGGCGCCCACATCGAAACTTAAATGTTGTTGCGTGGCGACTCTGTCAGCCGCAATTTGACTTATGTCAATATGGATTTGTGACATTTGCTGATCATAAAATAATACAAATATACTAACACTCCCACATTCGCCCATATATACGTGTAAATGCATAAATAAGAAAATGGCCCGTGACGAAAGGCAAGAAACTTATTTGCTTGCTTAGCAGACGCAAATGCATATACACGTATATATGTATGTATGTATCGAGATCGTCATAAATGCAAACTAAAGCCCAAAAGATTAAGTTTTCAAAATTGTTGCTTAAATCGAGAGGACACACTTCAAATAGATATGTATGTAGGCATGTATGTGCGTGTGTGTGTACGTGTGTGTGGCAAGTTGCAGTGTGGCATAAAGTAATTTGCTATTTTTAAATTTTTTTATTATTTCAAAATACATTTTCTTTTGATCAAATTGAGTAGGGAGTTGTTGCTGTTGTTGTTGTTGTTGTTGCTGGAATAAGCAGGCACTTTATTAAAATTTTATTACATTTCCGTGTGCTATTTTAGAATTAAAAACATAAATTCAAGTAATTATTACGTTGATTATCTGTTTTAACATTTTCGAAGTCAGACGCCCGCTTGGACGGAGACACTCTGGTTTTGTGTATATTTTTTATTTATTTATTTATTTTTTATTTTAAAAATAACTTTCAATAAATAGTGTCCAGTTAATAGCGAAAACTTCTAAAGAAAATTTGTATATTCAAAAGTAAATAGTCGAGTTCGATGGATACTGAATTAGTTATTATAATAGATATGTACATATACGTATGTATGTGTATCGGTAGAGAATGTCAAGCCGTCCGAGTGTATTTCTGACATGGAATAAATTTCCTCATAAGAAACCATTAGCCTTTCGGAGGCGGCTCAGTATAAACTGTAGGTCCCCTCATTTTGTTGGAAACACATCAAGACCCAAAGCCTCAATTTGGAGGAGGAGCTCGGCCGAAAAATCGCTTCAGCGGTTACAAAGCGCCATTATAAATCCATAAATATTTAGATATATATTTTCATAAGAATGTTATTGACCGAATATCCAAATGACACCCCTTGCCCAGCCCACAATAACAAGTCAATCATTTATTTTTACTGTGCGGTTTGACGCGAATTGCAGACGTAAAGTAGAAGCTGGCCCATTTTCATTCAGATCCTCCTTTAATTGGAGAGAAATCTATATTTTTCTATTACTACTAGCTGCCTGGAAAACGTCGTAACTAATTGACTCAAGTCGATTCGATATCACTTATATATGAATAATATATTTATGTATATATTGTATATATATATGCAAGCAATTGCTCGACTCATCCTTTGAGAGCCAGGGGCTAATGATTTTCGGCGAAACTTTTCTTTTCTAGGGCCATCTCATAACAACCATTGACATCCGAGCTCTTAACCATATTGTAGAAAGCTTCTTTCTTTTCGCTGTTTAGCGCCAGTTGGAAAACCCAAGTGAAGCCAGGTCGCTCTCACCTGGTCTTCCTCTTCCTCTGCTTCCACCAGCGTATACAGCATCGAATACTTTTAAAGCTGGAGTGCTTTCATCCATTCGGACGACTTGAGCTAGCCAGCGTAGCTGCTGCCTCTTCATTAGCTGAACTATGTTAAATCCTAAAGCCGACTCATCAGCTGATGACATCGTCCAAGCCTCTGCGCCATATAATAGGACGGATATGATGAGCAACTTGTATAGTTCGGTTTTCGTTCACCAAGAGAAGACTTTACTTTTGAATTGCTTACTCAGTCCAAAGTAGCACCTTTTGGCAAGAATGATTCTGCGTTGGATTTCCAGGCTGACATTGTTCTTAGTGTTAATGCTGGTTCCAAGAAGTTATAACTGTCAACAGTAACGTGGGAGCCGAGTCGGGAATGCGATGTCTGTTTATTTGCTGACAGGAGATATTTCGTCTTGCCCTCGTTCACTACCAGACACACATTCTCCGCTTCCTTATCTAGTTTGAAGTAAGCAGAATTCACGGCGCAGTATTTGATGCCAATAATGTCAATATCATCTCGTATTCCAGCAGTTGTAAACTCTTGTAGAATATTGTACCTTCTCTATTCAGCTCCGCAGTTCGTCTTCTTTTCGTCAGTATAAATAGAAAGAAATTACACGATGAGGCTCTTCCCGATCCTGACAGAGCTTTTAGTGTAGCTTAAGGTTAGTCTACATTGTCGTAAATTCAGGCGGAGTAGAGGCAGCTCCTTTCCCTACTGTCGAAAGCTGCTTTAAAATCGATGAAAAAGTGGTGCAAGTCAATTCTCTTCTCCCGAGCCTTTTCCAAGATTTGTCGTTTGATGAATATCTGGGCAAGGGTTGATTTATCAGGTCGAAAGCCACACTGATAAGGTCCAATCAGTTTGTTGAAGGTGGACTTTAGTCTTTCACACAATTCGCACGATAGGACCTTATATTCGAGATTAAGAAGACCTATCAGACCTATCGATGACCTATTCCATTATGGAGTCTCAACTGGCAAGTATTCGGCTTCCGTCGCTTTGCTGATTTTCAAGCGAATAATTGCTATTGGGAGATTATCATCAGTTGGGTTATGGAACTTCAGTTCCATCATCATCGATTGGGGACTCGGGCTCGTCGTCTTCTGGTGTCTCAATATTACTGCATTTTAGCAGGCTGGAGAAATGATCTCTCCATAAACTCAGTTGATCTTTACATTTTTAAGTCAGTCAATAAAGAATATTTTCGAAAAATAATTTCTACACTCAAAATGTATGAAAATCTATAAAGTGAACATTCCAAGTATGCCAGAGATCATCACATAATGTCTGACCTAACAAATTTATAGCCTTTTAAAGACTGAAAATTCAAGTAGAAGGTCATAAATTAAATGAAACATAAAAGTTCCGGGTAAACAGACATTGTGAAACAACTAATTTGAAATCTTACTGAAAGGTCACATAATACAAATCGAGACAAAGAGAGAGAGAAGGAGAGGCTGAGAGGTTGAGAGGGAGACATTGTGAAAACATTATGAGGTGTCAAAGGGATAAAATGAGCTTTCCTGCCTCTAGCTTCTTCTTATTACTTTTAGACAAACATGCATGGGGTATTACAAACATACATACCGTACATATATACATACTTATTTACATATAAATGAAGGTCTATATGAGAATAACCCTTTAATTTGTAGGGACTTTGAGTAACAGAATCATTTTTCACGCGAATTACATACATATATTTGATATACACGTATACATAAATACATATATACATATATATATATATGTATGTAAATGTATATACGACAAAACATAAAGAAAATATGTTTTCCCTATTTTATTGAAATATTTATTAGTAAACGAATTTGGGAAACACTTTAAAGTAACTTTCACCACCACATCTGCATATTTAGATTCATACATACATACACGTACATACTCGTATGTGTGTATTGAGATGTTTGTTTGCTTGAAATGTTTCTTTCACGCGAGTTGTTCTCCACCATTGATGGACCATCACTTGGTTTCGAATTGTATTGTGAAAGTCTTTTTGTTTTTGCTTTTTTTGTTTCTTTTTTTTTCAACTTTTTGAAAAGAAAATGCGTAAAAAGCTAAAAGCACTGCAAATCTTTAAAATCTCATAAATGTGGATGTGAACGCGTGCGCTTAATTTCCATTAAAGATAATATTGATGGGGTCGCTAAAAATAGCTGAGGGGGAGCGCGCGAGTTCGCTTGGCGATGAACTGAAAAGAACTTTCACTCAACTGCCACAAAGAACACACACACACAACTCAACTAGCCTCGTTCCCTCGTCCGACTCAATCAAATGCCTGCTGATAAACACATTCACACACGCACACATACACACTTTTAAGAAAATTCAATATTTTAATATATTTTCCACACTTTTGCGCTTTTAGGTCACACAACGCTCGGCAGTCCGAAGTATGGTTTCAGCACGCTGGAGTCACGCAAGTCCCGGCAACGTCAGCGTTTCGTACGGAAAAGTTCGCTGCCACTAGATGGCGGTGGCGGTGGCTGTGGCGCTGGCAGCAGTTGCAACGGCGGTGGTGGCGGCGGGGGCGGCAGTACGGGCAGTAATAGTGGCACAGCGAGCAACGCGAGTGGCGGCAGTAGCGCCAGCGGCAGCAGCAATGGTGTTAACAGCAGTGCCTCTTCAAGTGGAGCTGGCGGTGGCAGTTTGAATGTAAGTGGAGTGGGCACACTGCATCATCATCCCAGCGCCATTGGCATTTGCCGTTCCGAAACATTTCCCGTGCTGTTGGACTGCAGTCAAGGTTCGGGCATAGTGCTCGGTCTGCCCACTGCGTGTGGACGTGCCGTTACAATAGCGCAGGTATTGGCCGATTCGGTGGCCGATCGCAGCGGTTCGATACAGAAGGGTGATCGCATTGTGGCCATTAATAAAATGTATAATTTGGACGTGCAGACTATGCGTCAGTTGTTGGGTGAGAATCGTACGTTGCAGTCGCAGAAGGCACAACAGCAGACGCCAGCTGCAAATTGGTTGGAATTGGAGATTGAAATCGATATGGCGGACTCGGTGGTGCCGTCGAGTGGTGTGTATAATGTAAAGTTGTTGCGTGCAGGCAAATCGGGACTGGGCATAACGGTCAATGGTTCTAGTCATGGCGGTTTCGTTATTTCCGATGTGAAACCCGGCAGTCCGGCACATCGTACGGGTTCGCTGCGTGGCGGCGATATTCTGCTGGCCGTGGATAATCATCCCGTACAACATTACAATGTCGACTCATTGTTGAAGGATAGTCCGGCGGCAATTGATTTTACCACACTCACTGTGAAACGTGTCATGTTGCCGGATTTCCTCTTTGATGCCCAACAGAAGATGCCAAATCCCATTTATAGCAATTGCCCGGGCAGCCCGAGTGATCATGATCTGTACAGCTCAGCCGCTTATGTCACGTCCAAATTCAACGATTGCTTGTCATTAAAGTCTACCACGCCACAGTCGGATTTCTACCACAACACCTCTGGCATGGACGACGGCTGTAGCCTGCAGTCGGTGCAAATGCGTCATCATCCACATCCCTGCAACACCTGGAGTGCCAACACTTCGGCAATGGGTCGTTCTTTTGCTGCGCAAAATACACAGAGTCTGACCACCGAGTTGCCGGACAATGACGACAGTAACTATCAGGACTTCCCCGGCTATGACTTAGATCGGTATGCAAGGTAAGTTTTGAAAAGTTCATTTTATATGACTATTACTTCAAATACAGGGTACTGTTCCAAGCCGCTCCTTCCAGTAATAAAACCGAGGTTCCAATGTGACAACTTATAAACTTAAGATATTTCTTTAGGAGAGGTCTTTTTGGAAGCAGCAGGGGTTTGACGTCTGTTCACGGTTTCGTCAGTAGTTGCTGAAGGAGTTCAACTTCTCTGGTCCCCACAAAAGTCATTTTCATTTTAAAGTTAGTGTAGGTATTCCGTTTAGTTGTCCTTGTTCTACGGCAATGTGTCTTCACAGAGCGAGGCACCCGAATTAAGTGTCTCCTTCTATCTCATATGACCACTTTTTGGCAGAAATTTATGTAAAGTCTGAGCCAGAAAGAGTTTTCCGAGTTTTAGATGAACCTAAACAAGTTTATCAGCTTCCTCTATTTCTTAAAATATTTTCCTTTTGATGTATAACATATTTCACAATGAACTTCCGCTATGAAGAATTTCAAATTTAGAATTTTATTTAAAAAAAATCATTTTATTCTCCAATCCTTCACAGCGCCGACTGCAGCGCTCTACCACCACCGATGGAGAGCAAAGTTTACGGCTCGGCAGCAAGCTCGAGCAGTAAAAGTAGCGGCAGCAGTCTACACCAAATCATCTTCACCGTACGTCTCGAACCGAAAGGTGGCTTGTTGGGCATTACGCTTGCGGGCAGCGAGGACGTCAGTAAGCCCATAACCATAAGTGGAATTGTAGAGGGTGAGTTTCCGATTATTTTAAAATTAGTCAGCTATACAATTACACCATAAATTTCCTCCCACAGGTGGCATTGCACACAAACATGGGCAAATCCAAGTGGGAGATCAATTACTCGCGATCAATGACGACTCAGTGCAAGGCATCCCACTCTCGTTGGCCACAAACATCTTACAGAATCTCGGCGAGACAGTCGACCTGAAAATACTACGCACACACGAGATATCCAGCATAATGGGCGGTGGAAATTTGGAGGGTGTCAATATGCCACAACCACAAGCGATTTATGCCAAAGTACAACGACGTCCACGTAGTCCCTCCTCGAACACCGACGCCACTTCGACGGCTGGTGGCAAAGATGCGAAACATCGTGTATTCCATGTGACCTTGAAAAAGGATAAAGTTTACGATGATTATGGTTTCTCGGTGTCGGATGGTTTGTACGAGCGTGGCGTGTTCATCAATCGTATACGCACGGGCGGACCGGCGGATTTGAGTGGGGTTTTGAAGCCCTTCGATAGGATTATGCAGGTGTGGAAGGAAGATAATTAAATTAAAATTGATTTTGTGTAAAATTAAAAACAATAAAAATTATATCCGCCAGGTGAACGAGATGAAGACCCAGGACTTTGACTGCTGCCTTACAGTGCCTTTGATTGCGGCCGCTGGCGACAAAATCGAGTTGATCATACAACGCACTGAATGATCGTGGCATCTGCCAGAGCAGCTGGTCTACAAATATAAATACTGACAATGGGAGTGCCTTTCTTAATATGCTTTGCAACATTTTTTTTTTGTTTCTTTTTTTTTTTTTTTTTTTTTTTGAGTAACCAAATAAAAAATAGAAAAGAAAATAATTAAGTGAAAATGGCACAAAGAGTTAAACAAAGTTTCACGAAAGAAAACAGCAAAATCCATGCCAAAAACTAATATAATTTAATTTAAAAATATATTAAGCTTTACTTATAAGTGTATGTTAATAATTAAAAAAAAAAGTTGGCAAAACTAATTTTTGGAATTTTTTTTTTTTTTGAAATTTACTAAACTACTTTTTTCATAGTTGTTAGCAATAGACCACAGTGCCATTGACAAGCAAAATAAAAATATAAAAATAAATTATATAAAAAATAATAATAAAGCTTTTGATACTTGAAACTTTTTTATTTTAATATTTACAAAATGTATCTACTGCCAGCTTTAAATACTGCAAATAAGAAGATGACAATAATTTAAGACCCTCTTCTGATGATACTCACAAGGTGGGAGAAATCACGCTTGTGATAAAAGCGGCGCATAAAGCTGTGCTGCCGAGATCTAACTAAAAGCTCATGAAAAGCACACTTTAAGAGATTTTGCTGAAGTAACGCTTTTTTTTTGTTGGAATAGTGAGATAATGGAATCTGTGAGAATCCTCAGAATACTGCTAACAACTGTAGTAAAATAAATATTTGTAGAACTAAAATAAAGAAAAATTAAAAAACATGTATGTATGTATACATTTTGGTAGTTCAACGAGTGGAACTACACCCATACTTCATACATACATATGTATACGATTTCCTTCGTGGTGAATGAAGTCTTTGTATGTTTGACTTTCATACGATTTTCTTGCAATAAATTTGTATTTTGTAAATTTTTCCATTTGTTTGTAGTTTTAAGAAACACAATATTAAATCTGTAATAATGTTTGTATGTCATTTGATTGCAATAAATGTATACAATGTTAAAATACGAGTAAATATGTGTGAATGAGTGGTAAATTGTTATTGACGTTTTTTGAAGCCTGAAGAGCTCTCGTCAAGCAACGAGGGTATCCATCTATCCATCTATACAAAAACCGGAAAGAGACAGTTGATGTGCGAGTGAATTTTCATCTACAAACCAAGCTTTGAAAAGGCCCGCAGGTTTATGAGTGCCTCCTTCCTGTTCACTGTTGTATGTATTTAATTTTATATATTTGAGTATCACATGACGCAGACAACTGGCTGATTAGGCCGCCGTTCAAAATATTCTATTTTTCTAATTATTAAACTCTTGTAGGACTCGCTGGTGAGTAATTGATGCCCAGTGCTTGCAGAATTTATTGGGGGAACACTTCTCCAGCCTGCGGAAGGGTAGTGAAAATGGAGCAGCAGGAGATGACGAAAACGAGAACCCAATCGGTGATGATGTAAATCACGTTCCTTTAGCCCACTAGGACGAGGTTCGAATAGCGAATGCCTCAATAAAGTACAATAAAGCGGATGGAGCTGACGGTCCATCGGCAGAGTTATTCAAGCCAAGCAATGAAGAGCAGATAAAGTGCATGCATCAGTTTCTCAACAGAATATGGTCGGATGAAAGCATGCCCGACGATTGCAAACTAAATGTCCTCTGCCCAATTCATTAGAAAGCGGAACCTACAGTCTGCGCCAATTACCGTGTGATAAGCCTCTTTAATATCGCATATAGGGTCCTCTCCATCGTTTTTTGTGAAAGGCTAAAACCCACTGTCAACAAACTAATTGGACCTTATTAGTGTGGCTTCAGACCTGGTAAGTGAACCACTCACCATGCGCCAAATCTTAAAAAAAAAAACCGTGAAAAAAAGGATCGACACCCACCACCTCATCGTCGTTTTAAAGCCGCCTTTGACATTGACGCCTTGGCATTCCTGCTGTGTAAACTGTAGTTAAGCAACACTTAGAGCTCCGTCAGAATCGGGAAGACCCCTCCAACCCGTTTGATACCAAACGAGGTTTCAGACAGGGGGACTCCTTGTCGTGTGATTTCTTCAATTTGATGGTGGAGAAAATAATAAGATCTGCAGAGCTGAATAGAGAAGGTACATTCTTCTATAAGAGTGTACAGCTGCTAGCAAACGCCGCTGGTATTAACATTATCAGTCTCAACAACCGTGAGTTCTGCTTTCTCCAGACTGGAAAAGGAAACGAAGGTTATGGGTCTGGTAGTGAGCGACGGCAAGACGAAATATCTCCTGTCATAAAATAAACAGTCATCGCATTCGCGACTTGGCTCCCACGTCACTGTTGACGTGGATAATTTGTATATAATTTCGTTTATCTGCCGATGTCATGATGGAAAAGCGTTTGCTAAATGTCGAGATTTCAAAACTGTTCATACACAGAAAGAAATATTCAGCAGCTGAAATTGAGTAATTAAAAAATTTTAAAATTTAATTGTTGAGAGAAGCAAGAATAGTTTTTTGATGATAAAAAGTGAGTCTGAGAAACCGAAGGTGCTCGAATGAAAATTAAAATTGTGACAAAATCGTTGGAAAGGTTCATTCAGTTCATAATTTGTTTCACATGACTTTAATATTAAAGACCCAAACTGCCTAGATCCACTAATGGGAACATCAAAGTTTGCCTCGGACAAAAGCCTTGAACTACAAATTGATCCGTTAAGAAGTTTCACTACGAACAATGCGCCTAACATTTCTCTACGACTTGCGAAAGTAGGTAGATTTAGAAGCTTTAAACGGTTGGTAGAGGGAGAAAGATTTAACGCAGAGTTCCATTGTAGATGTCTTAATGCAAACAGTTAAAATTGTTTTTGAACAGAATCTAACTTATCGAAATGAACTGGATAGTTGGGGTTCCATATCAGTGCACAATTTTCTAATATTTGCCTCGTATACGGGCCTGGATTTGGTGGTACATCAGTTGGCAGCAATGACTGCACTTCGTCTGAGAGAGTCAAATCAATGGTTTACCCAAGTATGGGTACACTCGACAATACTGGGTAAATATGAATTCATATCAAGTTATAGATGCGGTCCAATAGTAGTAACTGATAACCACTTTAGAATACGAATTTCTAGCAGGAAAGAATGGACGGTTAATTATAATACTCCTAATGATGGCCTGGAAGTATACACGGATGGGTCAAAGCTTGAGGGTAAAGTTGGAGGATTTTTCTTCTCAGAAAACCCTCCGATGGAACTCTCGTTATGGCTACCTGACCATTGCAATGTTTTCCAGGCGAAGATATCTGCTATCATGGAGGCTGCAGAGTAAATTGGAGCCAGCTTTAAAGTTAAAGATATTTTCATTTTCAACAATAATCAGGCAGCAATAAAAGCACTGAGTTCGCTTACGCTAAACTCCAAATTAGTGCTGAACTGTCGCCGATCTCTACAGGAGATGGCCAAACCGAACAGACTGTCTTTCATATGGGTCCCTGGTCACAGGGATATCGAGGGAAACTGTAATGCGGTTGAACTAGCTAGCCGAGGTACGACCAAGCAGATTCTTCCCGATAAAGAACGCATTGGTATGCATTTTGCTACATGCAAACAGCTTCTCAAGGAACTCATACATAAACAAGCCACTACAAGGTGGTATGACATCACAACCTGCCGCAAAACTAGGCACACACGGCCGAATGGGGATAAGAAGAGATCACGAGATATATACTCTTCAAAAAGCGGCGACATTTCCAAAGTTATAGGAGTTCTCCATCCACCCATCTCTTATGCGACTGTCCTGCATTAAGCAGGGTGAGGTTACGTAATTTTGAGACCCTACTGCTGGATGGTCTATCGAAGATAGCTGACGTCAAAGTCATGGGTCTAATGAGGTTCGTTAGAGAGTCAAAATGGATGGAGGATGAACCCTGATGGTTTAAGTTTTTGTGGTATCGCAATGGGTCTAAGGCAGGCCTAAGTGAATGTCGTCGATCAGTAGCCACCGCAACCTAACCTAACTACATAAGGGTAGTAATAATAACAGTAACAATAATAATATCGTTTGCCAAAAGGTTCTATTTTGGACGGAGTAGGCAATTGAAAAGTAAATCCCTCTCTCGACGAAAAAGAAGCAAACTCTATAAATCATTCATCATTTCGTTCCTGACATATAGTTTACGATATCGGCATCCGACTATTCGGCCTTGGGAATCTTCGAGAGAAAAGTTTTGCTAACGATTTATGGTCCTGTGGCCCGCTAACGTTGTAACGTAGAACTGTACAAGTTATATGGTGACATTGTCATAGTTCATCGAATGAGAAGACAATGGCTACGCTTTCTCTTCCACACTGTTGGAAGCAACAGGTGGTCTTCTAACTTCACTTCAGAAAGAGAACATAATTTGAATGCCAACCTCTTTGTTAAAAACAATTCTTCAATCACACTCTTGTTATACAAATACGTCACCTGTAGAGGGACACTCTACATAAATTATTTCTATATTGATGTCAAGTGTAAAGGGCCGTAATAGAGTTCTTTCCTTTCTAAAGCCTGTTATCATGTGTATTTTAAAAGTTTAAATTAAGTCTTATCTCATCGGATAGCCAACAGCTCTTCGGTTACTGAGTAACCCAAGTCTGCAAAAAAATATAGAGTAAAATTACTTTCTATATATAATATAATTGCGCAAAAAAATCCTTTTTTTTTGTATCTGCAACGCATTCTTTGTCAAGCATTAAAAACATTTCCTTTTCCCATGAAGTTCTCTTAAGTTTCCAACAGTGATTTTCTATCATTGAGACACTATCTTATCTGTCGTATTTTCCACATCACCTTAATCTCTTGGTTAAATCGTTCAACTTCCTCTTATTCATTTCTTTAATCTGAAAAGCCGCCGAGGGGAGAATGCTGAAAGTATTCCTCTGAACTTATTAGGCAAGCTTTAAATGTTATTAACAGCTTTTTCACGATTGTAAATGTTTTTATTTTATTTCATTAACAACAGGTTCATTCGACA